TTATTATTACACGCACAGACACCAGAGTAAGAAAAGAAAACTTCTGCGCACTGACAGGCAGAAAGAGTGCCTGGCGGTCCCATAGCAACACCCTCTCACAAGGCCGTGGATCAAATTAGCTCTACCTTCCACCACTCCCTAGTTACCCTGATGAGCTGTCTTTATAATAAGAAATATAACATGGTATTTAGCTATGCAGGCTCCTAAGTCAGCCTGCCTAGGTTCAAATCTAAGGCTCTCTGCTTCCCAGATACGTTTTTGGGGAAGCAACTTAACCTCTCTTAGTGTCACTTTCTACATCTGTAAAATGAACATAAAAGCAATTTCCATCCCCATGAGTATTAAAAGAGAAATGCAAGTTGAGTTTTTAGCAAATTCTTTTGTTATTATCCTTACATAAAACTTCTTTCTAGGTGAGAGGCTTGTCCAGGCCTCAGGAATGTCGGCATTCCCTTTCCTTAGAAACTCCAGCCTATAAGATGGTGCAGAAATAAACCCAGGAAAACTGGAGACCAAGCTGGCTTCACCCAGACTTACATGCCAGTTGCTAGAACAGTCCCTGGTGTAAGCAGAAATGGTCACTGAATGAAGGAAAGTACTTACGGCTCCCATCAAGTGTACCCACGAGGTGCCATCTTTAAAGAAACCCAGCTTCAGAGCCAGAAGTCACCAGTGTTGCCCATCGGACACAGGCCAGAGTTCGCAGCAGGACTCTCCGATGGCCAGGTGCCTGGGAGTGCGGAAGCAGATATGGAACGGGTGACAAAGAAGCCAACCCCAGATAGGAATCCTTTCGAAAATCCAATCTGTGGCCCTGCTCATTGGTGATTCCCAGCTCTGGTTTGTGGCACTTGCCTCAGGCACCATTCACAAGAGGCTTTTAGGCTACTCCTCAGTTTCTTTGCAAAGGGCTTTAATTGAAAACACATTTCTATACCACAAAAAGCAACCCAGACAGGGCTGCGGCTCCCCAGAGACTAGAAGTCATTTTCCTAAGGCCATTAAGTTGCAGGTAAAATGAATGAGTGTGGATGAGTCACAATGTCTGTCCCTGGGTCATGTAGATGTGTCTTCCGCATCTAGATCTTTGTGATTCTGTCACTTGGGTGTGAAGAACTGGACTAACCAGCAGAATCTCAAAGAGAAATAATGAAAACAATAATCCCAGCACTTTGGGAGGCCCAGGCGGGCAGATCATCTGAGGTCAGGAGTTCAAGACCAGCCTGGTCAACATGGTGAAACCCCATCTCTACTAAAAATACAAAAATTGGCCAGGTGTGGTGGCACACGCCTGTAGTCCCAGCTACTCAGGAGGCTGAGGCAGGAGAATCGTTTGAAACTGGAAGGAGATTACAGTGAGCCGAGATTGTGCCACTGCACTCCATACACTCTCCAGCCTTGGCGACAGCATGAGACTCCGTCTCAGAAAAAAAAAAAAAAAGAGAAATAATGAAAACAAATAGAAGACTGGCCTTTGGCTTTTATATTAATAATAAACCCTATGACATACTAGTCTAGCAACTTTGCATCTTAGCCGTCATACAAATCTGTCCAGATGAACACCAACATCATCACTCGTTAGCTGAAGAAACAAAGACTCAGAGAGATAAAGGAATTACCCAAGGACACACAGCAAGAGTCAGATGTGGGATCCTCCAAGCTCAGATTCACTCCACTGCTCCAAGCTACTTACTTTCTCGAAAATCCTGCATCCAGATGCAGGGCTCTCTGACCCTACATGAATCCATGTCATCAGGAAAAAAAATGAACGTTTTTATATCTGAAATGAAAAGCCATCCACTGAAAAAATTGCTTTCCACATGGGCCTGTCCAAGACCACCACCAATAGTGGAAGGACTGCCCATTCTGAAGAGTTCTGTGCTAAGACTCCGCAGTTGGCAAATGATTCTGTAGTGAGCTGAATGGTGGCCCCCCAAAAATACATGCCCATATGCAAATCCTATTAAAACTTGTATTGCTTTATATAGCAAAATATGGGATTAACTTAAAGATCTAAAGAGAAGGGATATTTATCCAGGATTATCTAGGTAGGCCCAAAATACAAAACAGGTATCCTTGTAAGAGAGAGGCAGAGGGAGTCTGGGGACAGACAAGAGGAGAAAGCGATGTGAAGATGGAAGCAGAGATTGGAGTGATGTGGCTTCAATCCACAGAATGCCAAGGATTACAGGCAGCCACTGGAAGCTGAAACAGACACGGAACAGATGAGCCTCCAGAGCCTTGGAGGAAGCTCAGCCCTGCCATCACTTTGATTTCAGACTTCTGGTTTGCAAGGCTGTGCGAGAGCAAATTTGTTGTTTTAAACCACCACATTTGTGGTGATTCATTACAGCCACCACAGGAAACGTACGCCCTACTAATATGCAAACATCTTTGGCGAAGCCCCGTAAGAAGCCGAAAGTGATGTGGCTCGGCGAGTGACAGTTACCGTTTTCCAGACGTTGTTTCAGAGTCTCTTAGTAATGAAAAACCCGCAGATCCACTCTTACAGATGAAATTAGAGGATGCTCAGTTTGAAAAGAAACTCTTGAGGTAGGAAGAAAATCAGAGAGAGGAAGCGCTGAAGGGCAAAGACTTGGCTGGGCATTTGGGAGACCAGAGCTCGGGCTGCTGAGAACACAGGCCTGGGGGAAAGGAAGTTGTCGTGGGTGGAAGGATCCTCCAAGTATCAACCAGGTGTTGTTAAGGCTGGCAAGCGTGTGACTCGGTGACCTCTATTTTGATTTTTGGAGAGATCGGCACTTGGCTGGCTGACAGCAGAGGGACTGACCCCCTTGCCCTTTTTTCTGGCCTTTGTAACAAGGGCAGTGAGTTACATCCCAGCATGGCCAAAAGGATTAAGAAGGTCAGCACCACCCTGAAAGTTGTGAGAACACAAAATTTGGAAGCCTCATGGAAAGTTTCCATTTTGCTGCCTCCCACAATACGGGTGTTGAGTTGGCCAATCTCATTCCTTCTTTCCTTCAAAAAATGTATATCGAGCACCCCACTGTGTGCCCAGCACTAAACCAAGACCCTAGCATACAGCAGGGACACGAGTCACAATCCTGTCATCCTGGAGGGCTCTCTAGAGAAATGGTTTTCAACTGGGGGTGATTTTGCCTCCCAGGGGACACCTGGCGATATCTGGAGATGTTTCTGACTGTCACGACTGGTGGGAGGGCAAGGGCTGACAGGTTATCTAGTGGGTGGAGGCCAGGGGTGTTAACATCCAACAATGCAGAGGTCAGGCCCCCACAGCTAACAATTATCTGGCCCAAAATGTCATGAGTTCTGAGGTTGAGAAACACGGTGAGGCTGGAGTGACCTAAGCAGATGACAGCCCCTTTCACGATGATAGTGAGTCAAAGGAGACCAGCAGACAGAGGCCTGAAAGACCACACAGGAGGGAGACGGGCAACCCTCGAGGGCTCTGGACCATCTCCCCCAACAAAGGGATGCCTTCGCCAAGACCTGAAGCATGAGGGGTTGTTTTCCAGGCAGGAAGAGCAAAAACGCTTTCAGGTAAGCTTAACGCTGTAGTACAGCTAGAGAGGAAAGAGTGAGCGAGTGTGTGAGGCAGAGAAGGTAGGGCAATCAAGAAAATCCTCTGAAAGGACGGTTCCCTCACTTGTGTTTTGGAGGGGAAGGGCCGTCTGTATTATGTGAGGCGGCAGAACTTCGTGTTATGAGCAGGAGCCCGGAGTCAGATCTGAATTTAAATCCCAGCGCCACCACCTCCTGTGTGGCCTTAGACAAGGCACCTAAAACCCTCAGTTCCTAAATCCATTTTCAGAAAATGAAGCAGAGGGTGGCAGGGGAGAAGAATGTCTACCTTAGGTGGTAGTGTTCGGATTAAATGAGAAAATGCACATAAACGGCTTGGCACACTGCCACGAATAACAGATACTGTTCTTATTTGTGTTTTCAAAGGTCACTCGGCCCAGTGTGCAAAATAAAATGAGGAAGGACAACCAGAAACACTCCTCCCTGGGAATACAAAGCAAAGCAAAAACAAAATGCTGAGATTTTACAGAACAAAAACTTGCTTGAGCAAAGCAGTTTCCGAGGGGCTTTTAAGTCCTTGATGCTACACTGTGGTCACCTTAAGTAACCACAACGGCAACACGAACAGTTCCATGCCCATTGAAATCATCATCCTTTGAAGGTATAGATGTCCTAGATAAATGGAACAATGTGTCCATCCATCCAGCTAGTCAGCAAGGGAAATGAAATCCAGGGGAAACCTTAGGAAGATCTGTATCGTGGCCCCTGCTCAGTGATGGTGATGAACTTGTGCTCTTACCAGGGTACAGCCAAAACACTTGGATCCCACACACAGCAAGGCGCTTCCACACACACCTTTCAGTGCATCACCTTAATCCAATTTTCTAAAAAGCTGCTTACTCAATAATGGCTCATTGCTAGAGAAAGGGCAGTTTGACACCCTTGCATCTCTCCCTGCACGCAACTCTTGGAGGTTAGGATACTGTCACATTCGTGATCCTTCACTGCTAAGGAGGTGGTTTCTTAAGTGCACTCTTGGTGGACTAAGTCTCATTCACTAGAATTAAATTCTTTCTGCTTGATACTGTGAGAGGATGAGTAGGATATGTCAGAGAAACTGGTTTATAGCCCCCCAAAAAGTGACATTTACTCTGTAACTGTGCTTTGCTTTCAGCAATAAACTACTGGGGATGGCACAGTGAAATAGTACAGGGGAAGACACACGCCAAGGATCCCGTTTGATACTGACCATCTTCATTGCAAACGACACATTACGCAAACCAGATACACAAGGTGCACCAAATGGGCCATGAGGATGGAGGGGAGGGGAGCAACCCCTCACAAGAGTCCAAAACCACATTCTGGTACCTAAGTCATCACCTACACGCTAACTGTATGGTCAAGTTCCAACTTGGGAATATGTTTTTCTTGCTTACGGTAGGTCCAGTTTCCCTAGAGATAAAAATCCAAATCACAGAAACAAGTGACCAGCCTTTATCTGCACAGACTAAGTTGCTTTTATTAATCCAGAACGGCATGCTACAGATACTGTACAGCATGAACATTTATTCATTACAAAAATGGCTTCCAAACCATTAAAAATGAACTTGGAATAAGAGCATAAAACGGAACAGTAACATCACAACTGTTAGGAAACATTCAAAGTATTCACAAAAAATGTTATAGTTAGCATTTTAATAAACCAGAGAAAAATCGGAGACAGGTTTACAATCGCTTCATGTCAACTACAATGGCACTGAATGAACAGGTTTCAGCTTTATACAGCAGTCTGCAACATCAACATGCCTAGATTTTTTTTAGTTTTAAAGTCTGCTGCCTACTCGTATGTAATATGTGTACATAAAAGCGGCAGCCGGTTTTTCGTGTAAGAGTAATCTAATATACAGAATTTTGGCCCTTAAGGGTTTATACCTCTTCATTTAAAATGCTTTCTGGACAATCTGCTACCAAACACATTTTGTTATAGGTGACATTAAAACTACATACAAATCTACCTATGTAACATCACAGCAAAACATGATGAACAAAAATTACAGCATCAAAAAGAGGGAGAAAGCTAAATTCACTGAGAATTTTGGCACGTAAAGTTCTGCACACGGTCAGTCCAGGCCCTAAGGGCGCAGGGTAGGGCATCCCACTGGGAGTTCAAAGGGGAAAAAGATGGTTCCCACTGCTGCTCAGACAGTGTCGCTAAAATTCCCTCACTCATTTTCAAGTCTTGTTTTACATAATGGCTTTTAAAGCAACTTTTGTTAATGCTACTGATCCTTAATGCAACTATTAATGTCCATTTGGTGACAACTGGGTTTCATACAGCAAAAAAAAAAAAAAAAAAAAAGTCAAAAAGGGAAACAAAAATATATATACACATTTTATATATAAACTTAAAAACCTTGTACAAATGAGTTGTTATATATAAGATGCTTATGCTAAGGGGGAAAAAAAACTTTATACAGTTTCAAGAAAAAGGAAAACATATTTTAAAAGGGACGACATACAGGTACGACAAGCAATCTCTAAAGCAATAAATACTACTGGCCCAACAGCATTGTGATTCTATTAAGTGTTGAGTAGCATCCCCTCCCCCCAAAAGAACACCACCATGGAACAAGGTATATTAACACATTTTTACCCTTTGTTTCTGTACATTTAAACAATAACAAGTAACATCACAATAAAAGTTCACACAGAAAAAAAAACAAAAAAGTAATGGCACTGCATTCGTGGTGCCCTTACGGTTTAAAAACCAGATGTAAAATGATTGGTTCGCAAGCTCGTATTTAATACAAATAATACAGAACCAACTCCTTCTGGAGGGCTGCTTCAAAATTGCTTCTTTTTTTTTCTTTTTGTTTTTTAATCAGTCTTTTAAAACTAAGCTATCCGAACTACATAACAGTTATGTATATATATATATTTTTTAAACGCTACAAAGACTTTAAACAGCTGTTGATAAAAATTTTGGTAGAATCATGAGGTTCTTCTCTCATCTACATATTTAAAAGGAGAAATTGAAATAAGAATGGGTCAAATATTGACCAATGAACTCGATAAACATCAACTAATGTAGCCACGTGGCACAAAATTAAGAGAGTACAAAACAAAACCTTTCAAGGTGGGGGGGAGGGGGGCCAAATAAAGAAAAGTGAAACAAAACCATAAACAAAGCGACTGGGGTTCACGACGCTAAAGCTATTCTAAAGACTTGGTGACGAGCGACAGCGGCTGGGGCTGGGTCCCGGCCAGGGAGCTGTGGGAATGTAAGGAAGAAGTCGACGGCTGTGCAACTGATGAGGAGGGGGCGGCAGGCTGCAAAGCGGTTGGGGGCAGGTCCAGGGCCCCGTTGGGACAGAGGGCGGAGGCCTTGTGGGTGGCCTCGGCGAGCAGGAGGGCGGGCGGCGGAGGCATCATGGACAGGTGGGCCAGGGGGTCGGGCTTCAGGGACAGCGACAGAGGCTGGGTCTGCTCAGTCTGTGACTTGGCGTCTCGGGGAGGGGAGCCTAGCAGGTTGGGGGAGGGGGGAGGCGAATCTAGTAAGCTTCCATCTGAAGAGGGTGGGCTGAGGCAGCTGCCTTCACCTTGTATGTAGCGAACGCACTTTTTTTTTCTCCTAGAAACAGGGGAGAGAGTTATCTGTGAATAGAGGGCACAGATGCCAAGGGAGAGAGTTACCTAAATGCTCACACCCAAGCTGAGGTCACCTAAGGGATGTCCCACAGAGGTGGCATGCCCAATGGTCCGAGGACAATTACGGTGGCGCCCCCCCGGGGCTGGGTCGCTCACTTCACGGTGCCCAGATCTAAGCCTGTTCTGGTAAACCACATATTTAAAGAGTCTGAACTCTCTACCTGCTTCCCCCAACCCCTACTAAACACCCACGGCCCCACCCTGCCCAAATGTACGACAGCAGCATGGAGGTGGCCACCTGCAGACAGTGGCATCTATTTGCCAGCAAGTGGCTTTGTCCAAATTGACATGAACTGAAAAGCTCTTTTGGCTTAGACAGTCCCTCACTTTCCCATCAAGTTTCCTCGGCCCTTCACCCCCATTCCCACCACTACCACCCCCATCCCCCAGTGATGTCTGTGTGTGAGTGTGTGTGTGTTTAAAAGAGAAAGACAGAGCTCCTTCCCCAGCCGCCTCGTATCAATATGAAACTCTCAAAATGCTCACTGTTGAGCCCACATAGCTGAAGGCAGCGCTAGCAAGAGGCTTAAAGGTTTTAACACACCACCACCATGAGGCTGCTGGCGCCCAGAGAGCTTTCGGGCTTGTCTGTTAAGAACCACACCAAATCAAGAGAGGTCAGAATCAGGTGAGAAGGGAGGAAGGGAAACAAAAATAAAACAAAATAAACTTTAAAAAAAAAAACAAAAAAAAAAAAAAACAAAAAACAAACAAAAAAAAAGAAATCACCAAAAACAGGTAGAAGAGGATAAACAAAGGTGGGGGAGGGGGAAGAATAAGAAAAACAGAAAATGATTCAAAGGAACAAGAATAACTGGTTGTATGGCCTGCAGGTTGTGGATTAAATTAAGATTCAAACTTGATTTTTTTTACTTTTTTTTTTTTTTTTTTTAAGATTTGGGGCTTTCCCCTCCCCCACCCCATAGTGAGAAGGTTGGAAGGAGAGATGGTGGGGATGGGATGGATGGAGGGGCATCCTGCCCTTGTCAATATGCCGAGGCCAGTCAATGGAGGGTGCAGCACAAGCCGGTCACCAAAGTGACAACAAAGAAGAAGTGCCAGGGAATCGCAGCATGGACATTCCTGGGTTTGGGTTATCGTGCGTGTTTAAACCAGAAAGACTAATTTTGCCCTACACCAAAACCAGCATCTCCCCTCTTCACTACTCATTCATGTAAGAAATAGGAATGAGAATTTCAGAACCTTTCTTGCTTAGCATCAAAGGATGAGGTCGGGGAAAATCAACTCAAGAAATTGAGCATGTGACTTCAAAGCTTCTCCTCCCATTAATCCCAGTCTGATGGGATGGTATTTGGTAAGCAAAGGTGAGCCTGGGGATCAACCCCACTAATGCTATAAAAATAATGCAGATACAGGAAGTGTGCTCATCTAAGGACCCTAGAATATTGTCAGAACCATGGCTGATAACACTCCAACCAGAAACACGTGTGTAAGCGCTGGCCAGCTTTCTGCTGCTGGAAGCAACCAAGATGCTGCCTGCTTGAAGGCAACCACTGTCAGACAATGTCACTGGCCTTGGAAAGGAAGGGTGTGCTGAGTTCCTCCTCTCGGTCTGTGCCCCAGAGCTGTCTGATCCTGCCCCTGTGTGCATGGGGTTTGGACTCAGCAAGATGGCAGGAAGGCAGGGAAGGAGGGGAGAGGTTTAAGGGAGCATGCTCAGTCCTCCCTGCCTCCCAGAGGCTGAGATTCATGGGGGCTAGTGGCCTCAGGTGTCTGTCTGTTCCCTCTGGGTCAGAAGGAACTCTAGGGGAGCAAGCACCACCCCCTGTCAGCCTCAATTTGGCAAGGTTCCTTTTTCTCCCTGGGAGAGAGTAAATAGACTATGGGTTCTGCTTCCATCCCAGAAACCAAGATAAATAATTAAGCCTCTCAGAGTTTTAAACCACCTTAGCCTGCAGATCAAAACATGCTCAAAAAACTAAGATGTCCATGCATTTTAAAAATGGGAGAAGGAAAGGAGGTGGGGGGGGCGCATAAGCAAAACTGAGAAAGCAACAGAGAAAAACAGAGAGAGGAAAGGAAAGGGAGAAGGAAAGAAGTGGGGAGAACAACCAGGAAGACAAGGGAACGGCACCAAGCAGCATTCCATGCTATATTAGGGCAGAGTGAAAAGATGGGAAAAGCAACTTGGTGGGCTCAAAACAGCATCTTGTTAAAATGTCCACAAATGTCAAATAAAACTAGAAACCTTGTGTGGCAAGCTAGGAGCCCTGATTGGCTAGGAGCGTTCTGGTACTTTCCTCACCCCTCCCACCCTCATGACGTGGAAGTTTCCAGATCACAGGAATGAGAGGGGCATCTGCAACACGGGACATGAAGACTATGGCGACAGAGCGATGGGTCTTCTAAGGTGGCTGAGCACAGGGCAGCTGGCACGCACACACACTTCTGACAAGTCAGAAAATGCCTCAGTTGGCAACTTCTTTTCTTCCCCCCCCCCCCTTTTTTTTTTTAAGTACATTTTGTCCTTGGGTTTCAGCATCAAGCCAGGGGTGGCCACAGCCACGTTAAAAGGAAAAGTTGAGCAAAAGGGGGAAGGTAACCCATACTCTTAGCACCCCCAACCTAGGCTTCACCTCGATTCAGAGTGGCCTCTTAAAAACCCCTTTCTAGCTTCTTATTTATTCTGGAAGGAAACTAAAGGTTTTTCCTGATCCTGTTTTGGAATAACGTCCCTCAAAGACAGCAGAAATGCATTTGCTCATCATTCCATGGTATGGAAAAGTCACCAACGAAGAAAAACGTCTGCCGGGAAAGTCTGAACACTGCTGAGACTGGAAACAAAACCAGGTGGAGACGGGGACCTGGGGAACTCTGGCACCTAGGACCAGGAGCTCAGCATCTGCAGCAGAAACGCTATCATACTGACAGCCCCTCCAAGATGCGTTTTAGAAAACCATGCTGCTCAAACAGGAAGCAGCTACAAAAGTTTTGGGTTGGCAGATTTTTTTTTTTTTTAATATATCAATAAAATTCTGGGCTCTGAAGATACACCCAGGCTGTAAGCAAGGTGTAAGCTATGTCCAAATGGGGGACGTACGTTTGGGTCAATGTTAGGAATAACTTCAAGAAACAAAAAGTCTGACTTGCAGCAACTGCTTCCAAAACAAAAAAAGAGGATTCATAAACCACTACTCACCCCATTAATAAACAAACCAGGTACCTGAACTGGCCTTATTGTGAGGCACACACAATAGTGTCAGTTGTATATTTCTACACATCATGAGAAACCCTCTCTTTTAGTGACCCTTGTGGTTCACCAGTCATTTGGCCATGGCAGGGCATCTCAGAACAGGCTTCCACAGCTAGTTATCTTCCCACCTGGTACAAGTAAAATGTTGACAAATTCACTGCTCAACAGAGTCCCTGCCCTCCCTGGCTAGTCCTAATTAAATACCTAACCTCCTCCATCAACTTTGTCACAAAACTCCTTTCTGTTGTGCAGAGAAGACCCCAGGACTGTGTCAAAGGGACATTTGTCAGCTCTGTGAACACTCCCATCTCACAGAATGCCTGGGGATTCCTCTCCTATGGGCAGAGGGCTGTCTGTGTGGCTCCCTCTCAGGGAAGACTCTCAGGCCCTCACTCCTCTAAGGTGCTGGGGTCAACATGAGGCACTTCACCGATCTCTCGTATTGGCATCAGAAAAGGGGGGAAGAAACACAAGAGACTCGTGGGCATGCACGTAATGGGATGCACATCTGATCTAACGTCTAAACACGGAGCACATGGCAAAGTCATGAAGGGGAGGGACACGTGACGAGGGAGGCACTACAAACAGGGAAGCGTGTTTGGGGTGTTGAAATACCTACCATCATAATATTCCAAATTCAAAGACTGCTTGTATCAGAACAAAGAAACAACAAATTTAACCAAAGGTGGTCATTAAAGGAAAGGAAATGAGACAGGAGCTAGTCGGTATCCCTCCACCAAGAAGGAAGTACCTACGCTTTCCCTGAGAATGCAGGCTGGATGGAGACCTGCAGGTGGAACATGGGTGCTTAATTTGGACACTTCTGGGCTATTCTGATTCGTTTTGGAACCGGTGCTATATATATACACGTATTTTGTTAATTCTGCAGGCCTAGGGACGCTGCAGTCTGAGACCGCATGACTCACTGCTTGCAGCCCTTTAGCTGGTGCATGCCGTTCAATGCCACGCTTCTTTTTCAGCACTGTAAAACAATGTCAGCTAACCAAGCTCCTCTGTACAGACATGTGGTTTTTTAAACATAAAACAACCAAAAAGGAAAAAGAAAAAGGGAAAGAAGAAGCCTACCCCAGAACCCTTCTCCATATGTCTCGACTCTTAAGTGCACGGGAATGCAATTGCTGCCAAGTGTTAACTCATTCAAACCTTTGGAAAGGGTGGCTCTCTGTGCTCAGTACCCGGGCCACCGAGGCATTCATAGGGCCGGACCAGCTCCAGGATGCTGGCTTTCAAAGCAAAAAGATAAATGCCCCTCCTTGTTTGTTAAGGCTGTGGTCTCAGTCCTGCCACCAGGGATGTTACTGACGAGAGCAGCGGGGAAAGAGAGAAAGAGAAAGTGGGGAGAGGAAACGGCATAAAATTAGCAAGGAAATTTTGAAGAATGAGGATCATTAGTCATTGATGCCAGAGGGGAGGTAGATGGGAACGAGGTCAAAATAAATTATCACGCTAAGGTACCGGAAGGACAGAATGCTTTGATTTTCCCAAAGGCCTCGCAGTGGTAATATACCTGCACGGTTTGCACCATAAAGTCTGTCGGTCAAGCCCGAACAGTGCCCGACACTTCTTTGGAGTATTTGCATCTGTTAGCATAAGGTAAACACAAAAAATACAACACAATGGTGGGTCGTGCTCAGTTGGATGTGAAATCTCAGCTACCGCTTCCTTTTCTTCTCTATCACCTTGGTTCTACTTGATAATCTTCCCTCACCAAGGACATGAAAGGAAAGGACTTCTATGAGTCAAAAGAAAAAAAATAAAATAAAACAATAAAACACACACACACAAAACAACAACCAGAAACCAAAAAACAACAATGAAAAAAAAAATAAATAAATAAAAAGAGAGAGAGAAGAGGAGGGGAGAAGGTGACGTCATTTGCTTCTACCTAGGCCAGGATTCCGATCCTGGGCTGTCACAAGGAAGGGACAGGGGTTGGCAGGTAACATTGCCTGGGAGGGGGCGCGCTAAGGTTTGTTGTCGCTGACCCGAGGAGGCATGAGTGATGCTGTTTTACAGTGGCATTTTGGCTGGCAGCAGCAGGAGAACAAGCACATCCCTCATAGAGCCCATACACTTGGCAGTGTCCCACTCCCCTGTGTCTCCTGAGATCCACACACAGAGCTACAAAGCAACAGGCCAGAGAAGGGGGAGAGGATGGAATAGACCAGCTGCAAACCAGCACAGCGAATCTGGAAAACTATACACACCTGCAAGGGCCGCACCAGTTATTCTGTTGATCAAGGCCAAAGCGCGCTCGGCATTTCTTAGGAGCGCTCAGGTCTGAATGAGTTCAAGAGAGAAGCGAGCAGAGGAGGAGAACATGGGAGAAAGGGAGAGAGAGAGAGAAAAAGAGAGAGAGAGAGAGAGAGAGGGAGGGAGGGGGGAAGAGAAAGATACAAATAAGAAAAAAATAAAAATAAAAAAGGGAATAAATCAATGACCTGGTTACTAATTGCAAAATATTGACTTTAGTTTTTTAACTTTCTTTAATTAAAAAAAAAAAAAAGGTAAAAATCACATTCTTATTCAACTTTTGAAATTAGCTGTTGCAAATAAAGCTGCAGTATCCCTTCTTTAAGGACTGTCTCTCAGATTTGGTTCGAGCTGACAAAGGGAAGTTAGACACGGAAGAACTCTTTTAAATATTTTTCCTCTTTTAGTTCTGTTTTCCCTTTTTTTCTCTCAATTTTTTTTCTTAAAGAAGAAAATAAAGCGAAGGAGGGAGTTAAGTTTGTAACATGCTTTTTTCTTCTCAGAATACAATAGTTTAAAAAAAGAAAAAAATTACAAATAAAAACAAAACAAAATGAAACAAAATAGAAAGAAATAAAGAAAGAAAAGGGTTGTGGTACTGGGATATTGCAGCTTTTGGAATGTTCGTCTTTTCTTTTAAAATCTATTTTCATTAATTATTAAGAGAGGAACAGATAAAGGTAAACAGGCTGTGTGAATGAGCTGTTAGGAGTTAGTTAGAAGCTCATAGCGGCATTTAAGCAGGCACAGTCAGTAAAATGCTAGTGGATTTGCAAATTATGAGCAGAAAAGCAAAAGGAAGAAAAAAACTAAAATAAAAAAAAGCAAAGGAAAAAATAATCATACTGCGGATGCATGCTTGCGTGAGAAAACTTAGTGGGAGCAATGAAAAAAATGCCATTAGATTAAGGAGGTTTATTACTGAATTCCTTCCATTTTTTTTTAACCAGTCTCTTTTAAAGAAATACTGCATATTCAATTTGCACAGTTAGTTCAACTCTAAATCACTGTCATCACTGCTTAAACAACTGTTATGGGAAAAAATAAATAAAGAAACAAAACAAAGGTTAAATTAAATTAAAAAAAAAAAAAAACAGAAGCAACTGAAAAAAAAAAAATCTACCGAAACATACGAAACTGTGTTGATGGTCACTTTATAGAATGTTCAAATGTCATACGTGTTTAAATGTTAATAAAACTATAATGGCAAGAAAAATTAAAAAACAGTTTATCAACTATTTTAATGACTCAAAATGACATTAGCACCTGTAATCGGAGGAAGTGAAAGGCAAGGATTTAGGAAACATTCGCTGTGTTCTGAAAAAAAAGAACAAATTATACAAAGCCTTCAAAATTTTTGTTTTGTTTGTTTGTAAAAGCCTGGCCTTCTCCAAGGGACCTCTGAGATTGCCTATGCAGTATTTCTAATTTCTTCTAGAGAATGACAAACCTCCTTAATTTAAAATGGGTGTAATTTACCACTGTAAAGGCATGCATCAGAACATTCAGGAACAGCCCAGTTAATATCAAACACTCACACACACCCCCTCCTACTCCCCTAAGCCCCGCCCCCTCCTCATTCCTTCTCAGGCACATACAAAATAAGCAGACTGTATAAATCCCGGCATAGGCATGCCTACCGCTTGCTCTCCAGTTATAGGCTTTGCAGTTATTTTAAAACACATTCCACTAGAATTACAATGTGCTTTTCATGCAACAATGGATGTTACTAGCTTTAAAAGGGCAGTCATGAAGCAATTAATTAAAATGCATAAACAAAAAGGCTGGCTAAGAAGGGTTCCCCCACAATGTCCTGGCCTTGAATTTCTCCTGCCTCCCCCAGATGGAAACCTAACATAAAAGGGTGGTCCTCAGGCTACGGCTTCTTCCTCTAACCTGATGATTGTCACTTACCATTGGTCTCTCCCGGCTGCTTGTCCCTTTTCCTCTTCTTCTTCTTTCCCTAGATGAACAGACAAAACACAGGGAATTATTGCAAGAAACAGACGTGAGAAGAGTGTCTGGGCGCACCTGGAAGGAGAAGGCAGGAGGAAGTGACCATACTGCCATCTCCATCCACATCAACTCCCGGTATTTGTCCAACCTCCAACCCCGCTTCAAGCCAAATGCCCTTGCATTGTACCCCAGCTGGAGGGACACGCCCTTCTTAGGAGAAGAGAAGGGATTGGCGGGTGGTGAAGGGAAGCTCTCATTTCTCATATACCTATGTCCATTGTCAAACCTGACCCACAGCATTGGATCCATAAAAGGGAAGGGGGGACTGCACGAGGAAGATTCGGAGAGGAGTGGGATGACGACATTGCAAGCAGTCTGAGAGTCCATCTTTGAGGAGCACATGAAGGTGGTCATGGCTGCACCAGCTTCAAGGGCTGCCCTGCCTGACCTGCTCACAGCTCTTACTTATGAATGCCAAAGGGTCCCATTCTCAATGAAGAGAATGAAAGCTTTAGCAGGGGCTTCTCTTAGAGCTGGTTTTTAAAGATGTGGGGGAAAAGGGTAAAATAGGACCAGGAATCGTATGGGCTCCTTTCACAACTGCTGAGTGGGCTGGGAGCAGTGGCTGATGCCTATAAGCCTGGCACTTTGAGAGGCCAAGGTGGGAGGATCACCTGAGGTCAGGAGTTCAAGACCAGTCTGGCCGACATGGTGAAACACCCGCCTCTACTAAAAACACAAAATTAGCCGGGCATGGTGGTGCATGCCTGTAGCCCCAGCTACTCGGGAGGCTGAGGCAGGAGAATCGCCTGAACCCGGAAGGCGGAGGTTGCAGTGAGCCAAGATCATGCTACTGCACACCAGCCTGGGTGACAAGAGTGAAACTCTGTTTAAAAACAAACAAACAAGAAAACAAACCAAACAAACAAAAACCTGCTGAGTGGACATCTGTAAGAAAGACGTTCCCTCAATTCTCTTCTAGCTGACACAATGAGGATACGATTCCTCCCGAGAATGGGTACATGTATTGAGCCTATGCCAGGTGCCAGGCATGATTCTAGGTGTGCTACGCAGATGGACTCATTTTAATCCTCACAACGATCCTCTTCAACAGGTATTACCGCCATTCCAGTCTCACAGAGGAGAACACTGAGGAGTTAGGTAACTTTGCCAGGGCCACACGTCTAGCAAGTAGTGGGGCCAGGAGAGAACTCAGGTGGTCTTGGCTCCAAAGCCCTCAACCACAAAGCTCTGCTGCCTGCATGTTTAATGCCTACCCTCCAAGGAAGCTCTTTCAGTGAGGGGTTTAGGGGATGAACTGCATAGAGTCTTTCATATTCTCCAACCTGATCCTTCTTGGTATCCTGACCATCTGCTCGAGGTTGCAAATGTGGAATGGGACTGGGGGGAATTCAGGAGAGGGTGACTGCCTCATTCCGGATTGAACTAGTTCTCCCTCCCCTCATAGTCCTGCCCAGATGAAGTAGCTGCCTGGCATACATCGAAATGAAATGGTCTTACATTTCTATATGTTTCAGAACAGCTAAAAGTTGCCTTCGCCTAAAGCTTCTCACAATATGTTGATGTCAGCTCAGAAGAGAAAAAGACAATGACAGGTAGAAAGAAACTTGAGGTCTGGGCGCAGTGGCTCACGCCTGTAATCCCAACACTTTGGGAGGCCAAGGCGGGCGGATCACAAGGTAAAGAGACCGAGACCATCCTGGCCAACATGGTGAAACCCCATCTCTACTAAAAATACAAAAAATTTGCTGGGCATGGTGGCACGTGCCTGTAGTCCCAGCTACTCGGGAGGCTAAGGCAGGAGAATGGCGTGAACCTGGGAGGCGGAGCTTGCAGTGAGCTGAGATTGTGCTACTGCACTCCAGCCTGGCGACAGAACAAGACTCCATCTCAGAAAAAAGGGAAGGAAGGGAGGAAGGGAGGAAGGGAGGAAGGGAGGAAGGGAGGAAGGGAGGAAGGGAGGAAGGGAGGAAGGAAGGAAGGGAGGAAGGAAGGAAGGAAGGAAGGAAGGAAGGAAGGAAGGAAGGAAGGAAGGGGGAAGGAGGGAGGAAGGGAGGAAGGGAGGAAGGGAGGAAGGAAGGAAGGAAGGAAGGAAGGAAGGAAGGAAGGAAGAGGGAAGGAGGGAAGGAGGAAGGAAGGAAGGAGGGGGGAAGGGAGGAAGGGAGGAAGGGAGGAACTCGAGAACACATTAGGCTCTGTCAGGAGAACCTCAAGCTCGGTGATGCCACCAAGCTTAGGCTCCACCCTAGGGCTGAGGGCCATCTGTTGTAGAAATGGCCTGTCTCTTCTATGAGGTCAAGGGGCCTGTGCCACTGGGAGCTTTGTTTTGGCCTTCTGTTCAGGGCTGTTATTGAAAAGTGCTATGTCCCTTCACGTATAATTTCTTTTAAAAGGACTTCACGTGCTTTATCATGAAGCTGGCATCTCATGGGCCTGCAACAGACCATCTCCATGCCCGCGCCTCTCCCACGTGAGGGGCAAAGTGCCACCTGGCTGTCCTGGAACAGGCAGATGGGCCTAGTTTCAGTTCATTTAGGAGCCTGAAGTATTCATAAAAACCGGGCACAGAAATGTGTTAACTTCATGGAGTATCAGCATCCCCATAGACAAGGGCTTCTCAGCCACGTGTGAAAAAGCATCTCCATTTCCAGTTCCTTGCAATACACTGTGGAGGCATCTGGAAATTCCTCTGCCCACAAGGAAGCTGTCCCTTTAGGATATAGCATAGAGATGGTGACTACTGAAGAAGTTCTCATTTACACCAGAGACTTCCGGAGGACAGGGACTGTGTTTTAACAAAAAGAAGACATGAGAAAGTGGATAAACCCTAAGCTTAGTGAAGAGGAAGATGCGTCTCCAGGGAGGTGGCCACCCTACTACCCCCTTAAATGTCACAGAAGAAAGAAAGGGCCTAATATAGCGGTGGAAAAAAAGAAACTCAGGTGAGCAAATGGCATGGGACCTCTATCCTTTACCTAGTGTAGAGGGTTAGAAAGGAAACAATGTCAAATATAACACCCCAGGGGTTAGATACCACTGTGGGACTCAAGATTTTTTTCTCTTGGTCTCTAGAGAATGTGCCAAGTCTGACAACCCAAATGTGGCTGTTTTCACTCAATTCTGTTTTCCGAAGGTAGAGACATAAAGTCTTCCGTTACCAGTTGGCTGGAAAAGCAGGAATGTGAAAGAGGCATGAGGCGAGCTCAGGAAATATTTTCCAGAAGAACCTTTTGGAGTTTACAATGACCAAAGTAATTTATGGAAACTCCCATGTCAAGTTAGTTTAAAAAAAAAAAAAAATACTAGTAAGTTGCTACCACATTCAAACCCATAAAAGCTTCAATGCTGCGGTTCTTAGTCCCAGTGTTCCCTAGTGCATAAAAGGAAGGAGTGAGTGTGAGTGTGTGTGTTCACACCCATGTGTAATGAGTCATTGTAATAGGAATCTAAGTACCTCTTACAAGAGATAAAGTTCCTAGAGCCCTAAATCCAGATCTCTAAACCTCAAATCGTCTCAGGAGTTCCCTTATTATACCAAACCATCTTCCAAATTTAAAACTGAGCTAAAGCCATTTTGAGTGCCTCACAGCCCTTCTGAAACCCAGAAAGTATGTCACAAAAAGCCTCGAGCAATACTTTCTCTAAAAGACTCTGAGGCAAGTCAAACACGGTATTCTTTTGAAGCTATCACAGTCTGCCTTGTACCTTTGTAGAGATTTCACCCTGCACAACTCCAGGGGGCACCATTCACATAGACCCCAGTGTAAATGACATACTCTAGAGTTGTGCAGTGCACGCCCTGCACAGCTGTACATGAAGGCCCTACTATGACCCAAAATGTCTATCGGGGATATGATCTCTACAGAGAAGCTGAATTCCGCTCTGTGGTATCATTCTAGATTACTCAAAGAATTGGGTCTGTAGCAGGTAGAAGCTCAAGATGAACTCTAAGAACTTCTGACCTGAAAACAGGAGAGCAGCTTTCCTGAAATGATATGGTTGTGTACGTGGAGGCTATGGAGCCTGCCTGCTGCTGGAAATCTCCACCTCAGGGTCAGGTGGGGGTGAACAGCAAGCCTGTGGGAGAGCATTCACTTTCTCATCCTCTTCCTTTCAGCTCCAGAAGAAAGGCTTCCCCACTGCACACATGCTGGGGACAAACAGAAAGGTCCCAAGCAGTGGAGACCCCGTGCAAGCCCATCTGTCAGCGACAAGGGCTCTCTCAGTAGAACACACGCGCCATCCAAGAGGTGCCAGCACTCCTTCCTGATTCAATTCCCAGGAGGAGCACAGTCTAGCGCTGCCAGTTAGGGGGGCAGGGTCTCGAGAAAGATGGCCAGGGGCACCTCCCTTCTCCCTCGTCTGCACTGCAAGCACGGGTTTAAAAGTATGAGAAGAAAGAGGAAGGAGGCCTGAAATCACTCATCAGAGCAGGCAGAAGCAGCTCCTCCTCAGGATCACATAGGCCCGCAGATGTTTGCGATCTCCTGGCGGATGCTAAGTTCTGAGGGAGTAAAGATGTCCGACTTAACTCTGAATCCCTGTAATAACTTGTGCACGGTAAGTGCACACTCAGTTCAGTAATAATTTAATGACCTCAACCCCCAAACGTAGAGCTGCTTCACCGCGGATGATGCCAGTGGGAGAGTCAAAAGTAACTGGAAAAGTAACCATCCACGGTTCTAAGACATTGACAGGAAGGGGATGAGAGGCCTGTGCTGGCCTTAAGACAAGTTTTGGTTTTCCCCTAAGAGTGGACAGGAGTCTCTGGAAGACAGTGTGCTCATGGGAGGAGAGGAATCGTGGGGTCACAACCACTGCAATTAGTAAAAACAATCATACCATGGTGTTTCCTACAACCCAAGAGAGGACTAGGCAGATCCTGTAGCCAACACAGAGCCCAGGATCACACACACCACACAGTACACTTTTCCCTGCCCCTGCTGGGCCCAGAGTCAGTCCATGCATCCTGCCAAAGGCTGACTTCCTCTGGCTGCTTTCAGGGATATTCCCATCATGCTCTTCTCAGGATGAAATAGGCTTCTAACTTCTACTGCACCATGGCACAAAGCAATAGTTTTCTTTTTCCTTCTTAAGGGTAAAGGGCCTGCTGAAAGACCTGGGAGGAATTAAATTCTGTTCCTCCACACCTCCCACAGGTCTTCCCTAGGCCATACCACTGATCACTGCTGAGGAGCCTGAGGAACCTAATTCAGAACATAAGGTCCTCTGGGTGTATCCTAGAGCCTTGCCTCCTCTAGGAAGCAGACAAGCACCAAATCAACCTCATTGGTCCTGAGCTGGAACAATGGGACTGCAGCCTCCTCTCTCCACCCCGAAGAATGACTGCGAGCTGATCGAACCATCCATACTGGAAGCCCCTCCCTGCACTTTAGTGATCCAGGAAGATGCTACTGGTCCTCAAAGTGGGCAGACTGGACGCTCCTGAGGCCCACCCCAGTCAAGTGGCAGGTCCTGTTTTCTTTGTCCATATAGACGCACAACACAGCTCTACAGACTCTTATCCTAAGGAAAACGATCCACCTACATAGTTATCCCGCGCGGACCAGCCGGGGTACAGCTGCATATGAAGCTGTCGCTCCTTCCGGGCCAGCTCATAGTATTTCGCTTGCTCTTCTCTGGACAGTGCGTGCCACTGGAGGGGATGTGGGGTGCAGACGAGAAAGACATGAACAAACAGAAAAGCATGAAAGAACATCATACACTAAGCCAAGGTCAGGGAATAAATGCTGCTGTTTTTTTTTGGTTGAGTCTATCCAGAAATGGTATAATCTGTACGTACTGACTGTTTGCTGGGTCCTGGCACTAACAGGAATATTTAGACAAAACTTGATTTGTTATCTATGTCATTCTGTCATTTACTCACTCTCTCGGGTGGGGGAAGAGTATGGCTGTGGCTGTTCTGAATGCTATCTGAGTGCAGAATAACTAGTCCTGACTCCATGAAGGTCATTCGAGGACTCAGAATGTGGCTGAAGGGCAAGAATTCTCCAAAGAAATGGGGACAGAGACATTCTGCCACCTGACCTGCTGCACTCTGGTCCCTCACCACCCACCCCCCACTTCTCCCTGAGAAGGGCATCACCTACCCTCCGCCCAAGGATCTGGTTGATGGCCGCGCTTTCTTTCAACGTGCACTCAGCTACGACCTTTGCTCTCATTTCCTTCATATACAACATGAATGCATTAAGAGGTTTCTTTATGTGGGGCTTCTTCTTTTCTTCTTCCTTTTTGGAGTCCTGATGCTTTCTGGAGACAGACAAAACAGACACAACCCAATAAACAAGGTAGTGGTCCAACTTCCTCCATGGCAGAGCGCGTATCTCCTTGTCTCCTAACCCCCAAGTCTTGCAGTTTTGGATGAAAAACCATGTTTTTAGTCTTCTCTACCCCGGAAAATGGAATGAAAATAGCTTGGGGAGGGGTTGGGGGAAGGGAGGGATTTTGCAATCACTTCCTCAAGTTTCACAAATACACAATTTTCCCAAGCCAGAGAGGAAAGCACATGGTTGCTGTCTTCACCTCGGCAGGGTTTTCTCCTGCTTGCAGAACAAAGCTCCAAATGTTCAAGTACAGGGTTAGGGGGCAGGGAAGTGGTTGCAAATCCCAGTGTATCCAAGTACACACACAGAAAACTGTTCTGTTAGTTCTGTTCTAACCCGCGGTGGTGCAGTGAGATTCTGCCACTGTGCACTCTCTCTATCTTTGTAAGGGAGGCAGAGCCCACACAGCCTGGGTATTGGCTGGAGTCAAACCAAACGAGGCCAACCTTAGGGAGAAGACCACCACCCAGTAGCTGCAACAGGCTTGCAGAACACTGCGGCAACGAAGAAGTGAGAAAAACAGCAACACTTACGAGCTATGGAGTGAGCCGACGTCACTCTGGGACGATTCCTGTTTGACTGTTGGTGTGACTATGGCCGGATGCGGAATGCCCGTCGTGTGTAGCGTATGATGTGGTGGGACCATATGGGGAGGGAACCTAGAAGACAGAAAGCTGTGTAAATCGTCAGAATCAAAATGAATGAATGAGGAGGAATGTGTACACACAATTAAAAAGAAAAAAAAAAAAACAGCACGTAACACTCACATGAAAGCAACGCAAGGCATATGAAACCTGTCAGCATTAATTAGCGATAAATTAAACATAATGATTCTCATAATGTCATTAAAGCCAATCTCCCCCTTCATTATTGCTACTGACATAAGACATTATGATTTTTAACATATTTAGCAAAAAACAAATTTAACTGACGTACTTGGGCGGAAAAGTGGGCCTGGACTACCTGCCAGAAATCGCACGTCCACTTATTTTTTGAGGCATTATTAGTGGCATCTAAGAAGACAATTTCCTAAGTCCTAATCAGCTCTAAAATGAAAGGTGAAATCTTTTGTTGTATATTGACAGCTAAATAAAATATTAACGTGGTTGAAATATACATACATTTTTGACAATGCTGTGCAAGCCTCATTAGGCCTCATCCTGTTGATGAAGTGCAATACAATTTTTATTTTTCTTTTGCGTTGTGTCCCATCATTTGACAGGAATGGGAGAGAGTGAGGCAGGAAGACAGGGAAAATTCAAATAGTTCCTATTTGGTTCATATCATAAGTCATGGACATTTTAAATAAGTTTGTATCCCGTTATGGAAAGATGCAAAAAATAAAAGGAAAGGAAAGAACAGGTGCACACACACACACACACACAATAAAGCTTTGATTCTGATTTGTATGCCCTTTCTCCTCTAAAATTTAGGATCCCTATATCACTTTTACTTCATATATTGTCTATGCATCATCAAGAAGTCTCCTAAATGATTATCAAAATTATAAATGAAAGATACAGTTTATTTTCTCTCCTCTCATGCTGCTCATTTTTTGGACAGTTCTCTAAGACACATTTTAGGGCCTTAATTGGCATTTCCCAACCAAGTACATTAGCCAGGACAGAGAGAGCTAATTTCAACCTATTCTTGGCCCATCTGCAAACTGACAACTGGATCAAACACCTTTCTCATTTTCTCTTTTGCATTGTGTCACCATGATTTGTACTGGGTTGGAAGACTCGCCCCTCTTCAAGCAACATATCCTACTATAGAAAAAAGTAGTGAGGGAGAGGGCAGAATCCCGAAAGAAAACAAAATGGCAGCCTCCTGCTCCAACCTGGCAAGGTGATTCAAGGGAGCAGACGGGAAGCTGTACAGATGAAGATCATGGCAACTGTTGCTTTCTTAATAAGTCCAAACCAAAACAGTCCAACGTACCACCCAGGGAATAATAACCTGCTCTTCACAAAGCCAATTCTGGTGGGAACTAGAGGGCCTGCCTAATGAGGATCTATCACGACAGTTCTCTCAAAAGGATTCCGTATTTATTTACAAAGTTTCTTCCAGAAGCAGGCTAGAGATAGTTTCCATTCAGCCAAAATGAGGTAACAAACGTTAATGTGAAAAATAATAGAATGATTAAAGTACTAACTGAATCTACACAGATCAACAGAGGAGGGAAAGTTAATGAACAATGCTGATTCTTGAAGAAGGCCCAAGCCACGGTAGACATTTCACTCAAAAATCCCACCCCGATCTGATGTGGCCTCTCCTGCCACTGCCTTTACACATTTAAGCCAGTGGTGCAGACTGCATGACATGACTTTAAAAATAACAACCATACGAGTCCTTTGAATGTATCAAAAAAGTAAGAGAGAGAAGGAAAATGTAAGGAAACAAACAAGCTAACAACCTTCATCCCCTTCCCCTCAAAATAATGTGAAAAACAAAAAAAAGCAGAGCCCTTGGGAGACACTTGGGCTCCAAGTGACACCCTGTTCCTTCCCACTGCTCGAAGGCCTCAGAGGAAACAGAAGCTAAGAACATGTGTTCTTGGAAACCCTTGGGTGAAGTGGTGGGTGGCAGCTTTTACTGTGAATTTTAAAGGCCTGACATTCCTCAAATACATATGTTCCCTTCGTGCAGACTGAGAATATGTGTACAGACGTGCGAGGGAGAGGGAGGGGGAGACAGAACAAGGCTGTGTGTGTGAGTGTGTATGTGTACGTGTGTGTACATACACCAAATACCATGGGAAGACGCCACAATCTGAGCACATTTTGGGGTGCAAACTTCCAATGCTGCCACGAAGAAGACACATTTCTAAGTTCCCATACCTACACGTATATTCCCGTATCTGAAAAATGTTCGGCACAGAAAGAGACCGGGTATGAACGTGGATGTGGGCTGTATACACATACCTTCGCTTAAGAAATTCCTGTCTGCAGACAACTATTTCATGAAATGCAATAAACACCCTAAAAATTCTAAGCAGCTCATTATATACCCCCGTCTGCTTTCATGGCTCCAAGCCAGAATATAATGATGAACCTTAACTTGTTAAGAACAACTAATTTTTGTTTCTGGCTGTCTCAGGGGCTTCTCTCTTACTCACTCTCACTTTACTTCACTGTTGACACGTTTCTGTTAACCGGATGTCATCTGCCGGCCTTGATTTTATGCACAAGCAGTAGGATGCATTTTCCTGTGCAACAATCCTGCTTTGAGTTGCATTAGGTTTGTCATTATTCTCTCATTTTCCCCCTTGCACTTGTAACATTTCATCTCTTCCTGCCTTATTTTTTGTGAGCCACGGTGCACCCACATTATGGTTTATACATGATCTCGCTCCCTTTGAAGCCGGCAGATTTCAGAGCCGGCTCTCGTCAGGAGAAGAGCCTTGCACCAATTTAGCGGGCTGAGGGCCCGGAGCTCCAACATCTCAATCTAAAGGGGGTCACAGGGTGGCACAAGTGAGTGTCAGCAAGAGCTGTTTAATTGCCAATCTAGGCTTCTCCATGGTGTTTAAAGTATAATGACCCATCACTTAATTCTGAGAAGTCCTGGCCCCACTGCCGAATAGAATGAATATCAAAGGATGTTCTGGAACAGGGCAAGCTGCCTACATTTGCTATAACTGCCATAAGTATAATAGACCTATACTTCTGTCGCCCCATTACCACAATAATGTATTTAATTTGCTGTATACGCTTTTTAACTAGCTAACTTTCATTTGGCCTACCTGGGGAATCGGCCGCCTCTCCCCGCACCTTGAGGCCCTAACCTTTCTTCCTGATGTTCCCTTCCTTTCCTCCACCCCCTGCCCACCTATAAATCATCGACTAACCTCCTAATGATAATTCAATCGATCAGCTTAACCCCAATCCCTATCCTACAATTACTTTACCACTTTTAACCTCCGGAATGCACCAAATAAACAAACATGAAAAAGAACCAGGTGCAATATACAAATGCTGGCAAGGTGGGAAGAGGAGCTGTGGACTATAAGCTGCTACACTAATAGAACTACGTGTAGCCATGGTCCCTGGGTGCTCTCCACCTGGGAGACCCCCTATTCATTCCCATGCTTTGTGAAGCTGTGATGACACTATTTACTAAGTGTATGCTTCCTCTTCTCTCCAGGCCAGAGAACACACGAGCGTTTTCCTGCCTAACTAATACTGGCATGGATTTTGAAATTTTGATGATCTATCGCAGGTAGAAAATGGGTCTTTTCAACTGCAATATCCATGGCATAGTTACCGATGCTAGATATGCCACAGTTTGTTTTTCTTAATGAATGTAACTCTCTGTCACTGCCAAAATTACTGTTTTGTAAGTAGGAAAAGCAGCATCTTGACCTGTCTTTCCAGGCCCTTCTCTGGTCTTGGCTTGACATGTTGGCCGCAGGGATTGGGGAAAGAAGCTGGGGACAGCATCCCTGCCATGTAATGCATGCTAATTTCATTATGTGCCATCATCAGAATGGGTTGGTGATTTCAGACCATCAGCAAAGTCTAAACCTCCACCGATTTAATTAACTTGACTGAAAATCAGATGAACAGAAAATAAAACTATCATTAGAAACAATTAGCGACTACTTAAACATACTGCTGCCAACCAGCTTGTAAATAAACTAGCAGTCACTGAAAAATTAGCCAGAATTAATCAGAGGGAGGAAAAGAAGAACATGGGGATAGGAGTGTATCTTGTAAATATATTTCTATGCTGAAATATAAATACATATGAATGTACAGCACACATACACATGATTTTTTTTTTAACTTTCAAAGACTTAGAGCTGTACAGACCACTATGATATGCACCAACCACGTGTGGCTATTGAATATTTGAGATGTGGCCAGTCTAAACTGAGAAGTGCTGCGTGTATAAGATACACATCAGATTTTGTACCAAAGCTCAGTACAAAAAAGAACATAACATCTTAATAATAGTTGTTGTCCAGGGATAGCATGCTAAAATGATAATATTTTGGCTATATTGCATTGAATAAAAACATGTCATTAAAAATAATTTTATCTTTTTTTTTAAAAAAAACCTTTTTTAAAAACGCGGCTACTACGAAATTTAAAATTCCCTCTGTGGCTCACACTATACTTCTACTGGACAGTGCTACCTTCGAGGGGAGGAGGCGGATGCTTGCTTGTTGACTTGGAATCAGAGTCTGAGCTTTGAAAACACCAGTAATCTTTATTCGAACTCTTCTTGGTATAATAATAAAACTACCTTCACCGCTACCTTTCTTGCCGAGGACAGGACAACAGAGAAATGGCATTTCAAGAAGCTTCGGTCCTGTTTCTCCCTTGCCTTCTTAATTCTTTCAAATACATTGTTCAACTGAGCGACTCAAAAATTTTACCCAGAAACACATCACTTACCTTGGAATTTCAGGGCAATTTTTCAGGATTTTCTGGGAGTACAATCTAATGTCACATTGGCTTTACACTAATAGAACTACATGTAGCCGTGGTCCCTGGGTGGCCTGGTGGCCATCTAGAGAACTTCCTGAGAAGTCACCCGTGGCCTTGGAGGAAGGCCCCGGTTCTTGGAACTCACCTGGACATGGAAGCATTGACAGTCAGAGCTGTGGGGTAGGGGTGTCTGAATCCTCCTGTCGTGATTGGGTACACTGGTTGACCTTGCCTGCAAAGAAGGGGTACAAAGTAAGAGACTTGAAACAAGGGTGGGGGTGGGGACAAGAAAAAGAAGAAAAGGGAAAAGTTCTCTCTGCACAGTAAGCTTTACTCTCATTTGATCAGAACAAAAATCTTGGGGATTGTACAGGAAGGATCAAAGGGAAGAAACACAGAACAATTTGAATGCCATAAATCTGATAGGAATGGCTAATTAAATTTTATAACCTCTGCTTATGTCAATAGAGACCCTCTCCCCAAGCTGAAACTAGGTGTTTTGTTGTAATAATTAAAGGCGAAGTCTCGCTTGCTTTAATGGAGCCATCACACTAATTGAGGGCTACACATCCAAAGGAAAACAATAATGAATGTAAATTTATACCAAAATAAAGTACAGTGAATCAAAGGACTTCAGTTGCGCTTTGGGCCTCTTTCGGTATTTAGATCTCGGTGAGAAAACATTAAATTAACAGAGCTTAATTTGTAGCCTTTTGTCAAATTAACAAGTGTTGACAAGAGTTACCGGGGGGAGAGTCCCCAAGAAGAATTGTGGGTAACCAATAGACAATCACACCTCATTACAATAATTAAAAAATACAGCAACATGCAAAATAGCATCCTCATGAAAGACACACAACTTTTTCTGACAGAGAGTTGTCTGAGTTGGCTATTCCTTTTTATCTAGCCTTCAAATATCTCCCCATCAGCTGAATGGGGCAAATGATCACTGAGAACTATTTGAGGGTTGGCCCCATCTATTTAGAAGAAATGGGTCACAAGCTCATGTTCCTGTCTACCCTCCCAATAAAAATAAGGCGAGACAAAGAAACAGAAACTACACCTGGGGTTGGTATTTGGTATAGCTACTACATAATGCAATCTGTTTTTTTTTTTAAAAAACAAACAAACCAAAAAAAAAAAAAAATACAGGTAGAATTGTGGGGTAAGCCACTCCAAAATGTTATCTTCCTTAAGGCTTTGTAAGGCCGTCTTCCCTAAGACTCAAACCTGAGTTTTACCAGGATTTATTCCTGTTAGCATTCAATGTATTGTCCTGTGTTGTTCAGATCACTGACAAACAAGGAGAAATATATCCAAAGAAACAATCACAAAACACGTATTACACACGTGCTCATGCAAAAACACACATACACACAACCCGCCACAGTATGCTAATGCATCAAAGGCCTTTCTACTCTGAATTTAAAACACAGTTTTTTTAAGTTGCAAAAGACAGTCAAATAATCTGGCACTGCCAGGAACTAGGACTGATGCTTACGAAGGCCCCACATGCTACAGTGACAGTTCCAACTGCCCCATTCCCACTGTTCACAGTCATTCACGTGCAAAGACTCTCAGAGAGATGCTGATTCAGTCCCAAGGAGCTTCTCAACAGACAAAACTTTCCACTGCTGTTGTCAACTTGGGAGTAATGCTCAGCATGAGGTGGGGTGTCCTGGAATCATACGAGAACACGCCCTAATCCCAACCCCGGATTTCAAAACAAGGCAGTTCTTGTTCCCGCTTCTGTGCCCTCAAATATGTAACACCTAAAAGGGAGGACTCGGCAGCCTCAACCCAATGACATGATTGCAGTTTGGGCAGCCAACAGCAGAAAGGCCATGGTCAGCTTCATTGGGTGGAAGTCCCAGAAGTCTTCTGCAATTCCCAAAGGATCTTCAGGGCACCTCTGTCCACAGAGACTTTGGGGACCATGGTCTCGAAATGCTAAGTGCCAATAACTCTTTTCCTACAGAATCCATCTGAATGGCTATGGATTTGCCTGTATTCCCACAGGACACCTCAGCAACACCTTTCCTGTGCCCTCCCACAGCCCCCTCCCCAACCCTGGCTTCTAACACACACATACACACACACACACACACGTACAGAATAAATAATAAGCATGCCCGTGTAAGAAACAAAAAGGAAATTAAAAAATGGAACTCCTTACTGTGGTACTAACCATCCTAGCGGATGGGGGATTTGTCCTACGGTGCCAGGCGATAGCGGGTAATACGGGGATATATCTGGAGGGTGCGGAGGCCGTGGGATTCCTGAGGGAAGAAGCAGCATTTTAGGTACAAAGGAGGGAGAGAGGGAAAGAGCAGCTCGTTAGGGGATGGGAACAGGGAAAGAGGAGGAAGAGAGGCATCTCTTCTGGAATCCTAACACAAGGTTCATTTGTGATTATAAATCCTAAGAGTTGTTGGTAGGTTTCATCTCATTTTCCCTTAGCCTCAGTTTGAAAAATTAGTTTATCTCCTTCTAAATGGACTGGGATAGTGGGTAGACTCAGATATATGCCATCTTGGGTCTTTCTGCCTCACGTGACTGGTGTGATTGTTTCAAGTTTAAAAGAAACAACCTCAAAAAGGCTCGGCAGCTGGTGGGGAATGAAGCAATGGTAATCCCTGTTGCTCTTACAACACGGGCCCTTCGCCCTGCGGAGTTTCATGCCTTACCTGCATGAAAGTTACTCCTCTGATTTCTAACAGACTTTTTGAGCTGTGGCATTCAAAAGGTTACTACCCTTGCTTTTTTTCAAAAATGGTGACTCCTCTAAAATGTCTCCGCCTCTATTTGGATGAGCTGGAGAAACTGATCAAATGCCATGTGGCATCCTATCCAAGGTAGAACCAGAGCTGAACAGACAAGGAGGTGTTGGAGGCTTGTGTACTCCATTCTGGAACTTCATCCGCTAGGGGACAGAGTCACCTGTGGGGATTAAGCCCATCTGCTGAATGGGCACCTTGTGCGTTGCAGGGGCTAAGAGCTTCACAAGGCACACATGAGGGGATTCTGCAAGTACGTGCCACCGCATGCCTGCCAGTTCCACAGGAGCACATTCTACAGTCGACTCTGATAGAGAAGAACTGATCTGTGCCGTTGAAGTGGGAGGCAAAAGGCACAATACCACAGAATTAAAACAGAGTAAAGGAGGGAACGGACTGCATGTTCGTGGATGAAAACGACTTCATTTTTTAAAAAATTCATTCAGGAAGCTTTTAATCTGTAAATTAAGTCTCCCTGGGTGACATTTTCATGCAGACATTGCTTTCTCTCTATTACAAAAACCAAACAGATTAGCTGGGCTTGGACCCTACACCGAGCCATTTGCACACTTGAAAGAATGTTCGCAGAGGAAAAGTAAACAGTCCACAGACGTTAATCATATGTTTTATGATAACCATTTAAAAGCTATTCCCTGTACTACCATTATTTAAATGAGACGTTGACGCTGCCATTCACTGGTGGAGCCTGGGGCCGGCTGGAGGAGGCCGCCAGGCATCCAAGCACCAGGCTCAGTCCTGCACCAGCACAAAGGGGCTCAGAGACCAGTAAAACCCAGCTCATGTGTGGCTTCTTTCAGGGGCAGTGAAGGCCGCCTAACCAGGCAGCCTACCTACCCCAGCACTACCAATCCCCTCTACCTACCCCAGCACTACCAATCCCCTCTAACGAAGTGATGCGTGATCACCAACTTAAACCCATCCTTCCAATTACTGAGCTGGGAAGGGAAACTCCTACCAACATACTGGGTAGCCTGAAAGACACACACTAAGCTTACCTGTTCTCCCAAGACCACCCCACCAGGAGCTGGGGCTGCCTGCCTGATTTAGATCTTGTTGAAGGAGAACTAAAAGTAACCCCACCTTCTCTCCTTCTCCCCTTTGGGAAAAAAGCAGTCAATGAACGACTGGGATAAAAAGGGGATGCTGGGTTGGGTGTGGTGGCTCATGCCTGTAATTCCAGCACTTTGGGAGGCCGAGGCGGTCAAAAATTCGAGACCAGCCTGGCCAACATGGTGAAACCCTGTCTCTACTAAAAATACAAAAATTAGCTGGGTATGGTGGCACATGCCTGTAGTCCCAGCTACTTGGGAGGCTCAGGCAGGAGAATTGTTTAAAACTGGGAGGCAGAGGTCACAGGGAGCCAAAATCGCTCCACGGCACTCCAGCCTGAATGTCAGAGCAAGACTCTGTTTCAAAACAACAACAACAACAGGGACACTGAAAAGCATGGCAACTTCTCCCAGACACCCACTGGTTGTTCTAAGAAGAAATGAAGCAACCTGCCTGGGCTTCAGTATTCACATCTGTAAAATGGGCTCAGCAATACCTAGAATATTGTAGGGGACAAAGTTGTTAAATAAATTAGCGAAGAAAATGCAGAATCCAGTGATGTGGCTTTTTGAGGCTATACCAACAAGCCATTGTCAAGTAGTGACTGGAGCCTCTTAGCCAGCGAGGGAGCTGAGGTTTGGAAAGTCATGCTGTCACATCTTCCCAGGAAGCTGAGGAGGGACCCAAGAAATGCCTTCCATATGATTCCTGCATCCAGGTCTGTCTGAGGCTCTTAGAGTTAAAAGCCACTCCTGAAACATACTGAGGACTCAGAGCTGGGTTCCCAAGACAGCCCCTTCAGGGGCACTGGAAGCCATGAAGAGATATTTAACACTGCAAATGAGCTTCTCCAAAGGGAGTGGAAAACCACTCCCACACCAGGCCTCAATCACCCCAAAGAGCTTCCTTTTCAACACCCAGAAAAGCAACAGGGGCCCCCCACCACCGTTCCCACCCAGTCCCCTCCTGCTCCGCCCCTGGGGTTCCTGTGGAGGCCTCAACAGGTTCCCCAGAACCCCAGGACCAGCGCTCTACCTTGGCTCCCAAGCCCATGGCCTACCTGTTTTGGGGTCTACGTCGGCTGGTAAGTGTGGAGGTGGGTTTCCCGGCGTGAAGTGTTCATTGCTGTAGGTGATAAGAGGCGTGAGGGGGTGGACATGGTGAGGGTGCTGCACCACTGGCACTTTGTTCGACTGTGGGGAGGAGAACAGAGAAAGACACCATCAAGCCGGTTCCGGCAGCCCAGGTCTTCAGAGCCCCCGGCCCGTGGGTTCCCCTGACTGCAGCCTGCCACCTGGATTTTCTAAGATGCACTCAACGCTGCCCGTCCCATACTCCCCCGAGTCTGAATAAATAGATAGTTGTAAGACAGCTCTCTGGTTGGGTCTGCTTTAGTTTTTATTTCCCCACTAAGCCTGGCTTTTAAAATACCTTCTCCATCCCTACCCCATTATGGAGCCCAAGAGTCTGCACTTTTCCCGTCCGCAGGTGAGTTGGAAGCCGGGACTTTAATCTCCCATGCCTACTGCGTTTCCGCATGTGGTGGGGACCTCCTACCCCAAGGCCCCACCTCCAGGAGGCAGGCAGGCTGCACAGGGGACCATCTAGGAAAACCACCACTTAAAAGAAACCAGCCGGGCCCAAATCCCACCCAGCCAGCCTCCTTAGCCACCGCTCCCCCCGCCCCTGACAGCTCCTATCCCCTCCCTGCCCTTAGAAACAGCCGGCATGCTACAGTCCTTCTCAGACAGTATGGACGCAAAGCCCCACTCGTGGTTTGGGTGGGAGTGTGAACTTTACCAGAAAGCTCTAAACTGCCTGGCAATCACCTGCATATTCTATGCAGATTACAGCAGCCCTGATTCATTAGGAATTTCATTAGAAAGTCATCCGGGAATGCTAATACATTAACTGGATGATGACGAATTGGGCTAATAAAAGGTACGCATTTTAGAAATGGGCAGTTCTAGAAAACAAAGTACAGGCATTTTTATGTTTGGGAAGGGTGGGTCAGTGGAGAGAAGCAGAGGGCGGGGTGGGGGGAAGAAAAGCATTTAAAAAATGTTTCTAGTTGCCAGACCCAGGCTTTCCCAAATTATTCTCCTCCTCTTTCCCCCACCTCCTGCTCAGTCCACCCCTCCCCACTCCACTACACTGTGCTATAACTTAGCCCAGCAAGATCACAAAGAAAAAATTAAGCTGAAACAAGCGAACTACTGGGCCATTTACGGAGAGTAATCCAATTGCAAAAAACCCTATTCCCCATAGAGGATTTTCACTAAAATCCTACAACAGGGACATTTAACCAGATTAGGTACCAGCGAAGATAAAGAGGCAAGTATTAGATGATGAATGGATTAGAGTCAAGTTTCATTTCAGAACGTGTCTTCATTTCCTTTTATTACTTTTAGGAAGGCACAACTTGCATTAACATCAAGGAAAAGGAATTGCATTAAAAGAAAAGAAGGAAGGTTCTAGTGCTGCCCACTAGCGCCTGTTGAGTTCAGGGATCACTAAGCAGTTAGTTCTCTTTACTGGGTCTCTTCCTGTCCATTTTTTTTTTTTTTTTTTAAATGGGTGAGGAAGGAATGTAATATAGGAACAGCATTTCTTACCACAGGTAATTGAGGGGGAAAGCATCTTTTAAAAAGTGCTTTTAACTTTTTTGTGGTTATGTGTGGAAAGAAAAATAAGGCCTTCTCTCTAGATGCCCCAGAAAAAAACTGCAGAAAAAGAAGTCAACGCTTCCAACAGCCTGGTTTACCAATTCCTATGTATAACTGGCCTCTTGGAGAAAGGGGAGATCATGTCCAGATGACATGATCTGTTTACAGTAAAGAAGCACAAATCCCACAGCCATGTTCTAAGCAGGACTAAGGGGAGATGTGGGGAAAACCCTCTTTTTCTACTTTACAACAAAAGAGGAAGACAGCATTTGGGCAATAATGGAGTTCACTGAGCATAAGATTTAAAAATTAAGCCTCCACCTTCTTAGATATACATATGAAGGCGATTCCAACAAAAGGTGGGGCCCTGTGTTCTGGCTACCAACACCTCTCCCAGTATTATTTTGCACGCCTGAGCCTAGCCAACTAGTGTTTTTGCTTATAGGAGCTTTGTGTTATATGCTACCATTTTGCAATCAAAGCAAGTAAGTTAAAAGCCACCAAAGCAGAGGGAGCTTTGGAAACCAGAAGCACTTCCACAGAAGGGGCAGCCACGAAGGGCTGGGCAGGCCAGGGCCAGGGTGAAGGGCTGCTACCTCATGGCCAGTGCTGGCACCTCATGGACAGGCACTAAGGATTCCTTAAGAAGAACATTTGCTCAGGACAACTTGAGAAATAAGGAACAAGGAAGCTCCCACACTGTGTGCTGAGGTGGGGAGGGAAAAGAGAAAAGGAGAGGAAAGGAGGGAAAGAGACAGACACGGACAAAGTGGAGACCTTTGGAGGCAAGGCTGTTGCTGCCTTCCAGAAGTTTTCTCTTTGGTTGGAAAGATACATACCCGCTGACATGAAAGAAAGCAGACCAGCTCCAGACAGTTTAAAGTGAGTGTGAAAAAACACCAGGGCCAGTGGGGAGAACCACCCACAGCCCAGAGAAGGGAAGATGATCACTCAGGGGTGGAAGGACTGATCAAGTACCACAGGAGGAGGACCACCATCAGCCATGAGAAGCAGCACATGGGAGAAGAAAGGGCTAGTGGTGGGCATCAGAACCAGCAGCAGTTAGCCCCGAGTCAAGCATCTCCCAGGATGCTTCCCACTCACTCAGATTCCCCAATCCTGGGAAATCTCTCAGTAGGCCCTGATTCATTCACAGTGGGTCTGGACTCAGGACCCAAGCATCTTGGGCCTGCTTCCTGGGTGTTGTGGGTGGTTCCTGTGTTCAGCCATGAGGACCACATGCACACAGGCAAGCACAGAGGTAAAGAGCCATGAGTTCTGATGAGGAATCAAGTCCTAGTTCTAAAGGAACCCAGGAAAAGCCTTAGCACATAACCTAGCACATAAGTTTGTTATTTATTATCTATTACAGTGGTTTATTAGTAATGTTATTTTTACTGTTAAGAAGAAGCTGTCCAGATGACATGATCTGTTTACAGTAAAGAAGCACAAATCCCACAGCCATCTTCTAAGCAGGACTAAGGGGAGATGAGGGGAAAACCTTCTTTCTCTACTTTGCAACAAAAGAGGAAGACAGCATTTGGGCAATAATAGAGTTCACTGAGCATAAGATTTAAAAATTAAGTCTCCATCTTCTTAGATATACATATGAAGGCGATTCCAACAAAAGGTTCTATCCCCCTGTGTTCTGGCTACAAACACCTCTCCCAGTATTATGTTGCACACCTGAGCCTAGCCAACTAGTTTTTTCCTGTTCAGTCAAAACTATATCATGGGGGTGGGGGGGGTGGGGGGGATGGTAGGGAATTGGAAGCTTTAGGTGCTGCCAGGCTTTAGGGCAAAAAAATGGGACCTGTACTAGGACTAGCCCTACTCCTTTCTGACCTCAACTGCATGCCAGGCAGGTCCCTGTGAAAGAACAGAACTTCCTCTCTGTCCAAGCTCATGGGTTCCCTTGCAAGAGAGGAGAACTCTGTGGTCATACCTGCCAAAGCCAGGGACTACCTGCCACTCCATCCAACCTCCCTCTACCTGGAATCCTCTATGATGGAAGGATTTTCTTCTTGCAAATGCCTATGTCTCTCTGGCCTCAGACCCCAGAACCCTTTCTTCCTACATCACATGATGCCCATTGCTGGGGGTGTGTGTGCACCCAACCTAAGTTCCTTAGGGACAAGGACTATGTCTTCTAGAACTTGTGTCCTCCCAAATGACCAGCCTGTGGAATGGAGAGCACATTCTCCTAAACTGCATAAGAACCACCAGATTGCAACTGCAAGCATTTGAAGGGAAAGACAAAGCCAAATCACAGATTCACTTCAAGTAAACGGTGGCGCTCTTTAAATGTAGTGTCCTTAGAATCACAGAACAGAACGTAGTGGTCCTTCCGGACCATCCAGTTCAATACCCTTGCAGACACTATCTCAACTACAGCTGTGCCTTTAAAAGGGTTTTAGGGGCAACTGGCAATGCACACAGTGATTCAAGAACTGAATTCAAGGAATACCCGGGTTTTAATTCTTCCTCACCAGGTTGGCTGCGTGACCTCTCTCAAGACTTCCTTTCTGTCTCTGTCAACTCCGGATGAGAATCATGTCTACCTCGCAGGGTTGTGAAAACTAAACGAGAACTTGCATGTAAAGTATTTAGCACAGTGACAGGCACAAGCTAAATGTGCAATACAAAGATGCTTTGAAAATGCAATCCGATACATACTAATGATGACGCAGTTCACTATCCCTCTAGCCTCTTCTGATTTAATTCATGGAGCGAGGGGGACACACAGCCACGACTCCACTCCTGATTTCAAAGGTAAGGATGTTTGTTTATGGGGCAAGATCGTTCTAGACGATTAGTGGCACTTTCCTCAGGCACATACCCTTCTTCAAAATGAGGTGTTTAATTAATCCATATATTTTAATATCTCTTGTGAGAAGAGTCATCATTTCACTATGCCAATAAATGAGATTGCCACAGAGGAGCTGAAAGTCAAACAAACAAACAAAAAAAAGGCAGGTAGAGATGATCATGGTCCCTTCCAGATCAGGGCAAGGGCCTTTAAGTAAGAGCTGTCACAAATGAAACACCAAAGAATCCAAATAGAAAGATGCCCCTTGGACATTCTCCTTCTCTTTGAACACCTCCCACTTCTCTAACGAGGTCTTTAAGAATTGTGTTCAAAACCGCACCACCCTAAGAAAATTCAGATGTGAAAAGTAACTTGGTTGCAACATAGACAACCTTCCAGAAATGTACTCATGGCAACTAAATTAGCAGCAACTATCCATGCTGGGGGTGCTGGTGGGCTCATTAGCCTGCAGTACTTATTCCCTCCCCTTTTTCTCTCTTTATAAACAGAGCCCAATGTGCAAGGGAAACAGCTCAACATAAGGCCAGGTGCCTTTTTGGGAACTATTTTACCTAAATACATCTTCAAAACTACATGGGGATACAAAGTCATTACGACCAGTGACAGCGAACCAACGTTCAAGGTCATGGTAGTGATGGTCAAGCAGAGCTGTGTGAAGAGCCTGCGTTGCTGTACTGAACTCTGAAAACATGATGAAAACGGACTCTCTGAGCCACAAAAACAGCAAACACTCATATACGAATAACTCACATAATTTCAAAACTGTTATACCATAGCTGCCGAAGTCACACCACCACCATCAGCTCAGAACACCTTTTCTAGATGAAATGAGGGTAGGATGGGGATTGGCCGGTTGCTACCCCTGAAGCACTACCATCCACACCAGCACAGCTCAGGGTGGCCACTGTTCAATGGTGCCTTGGGCTCTGTGTCTGTGGGCCTCTGTGCTGAGTTCATGGCGTGCTTTATTCTAGGAAATCCTCACAACGAGCCTATGAAGTAGTCGGCATTTGTTATCAGTTCCACGCAGTAGGTAAAGATATTTTTTTTCCAGGTTACATGCCTTGAGAGAGTGGTGTTTCTAAGCTCTGCAGCCTCACCTGCCTGCCTCCACCACCCCACCTCTGCACTGTCCCAGTCTGCAGAAACTGGCATTACTGGGATGGGGTTAATTGCTGTGTTCATCTAGTGAGATGCACCCAATGAGATCAGCCTGGGCCAACCTTCCCACTGGACACAGCTGCTTCAGGACTCTCGGTGGGATCTGTCCTCAAACTCCCACCTACCAATCGCTGCATCCTAGACCATTTTCGGCAGGTATTACCCCCAAAACCCAAATTAGGAGGAGCTCAGGGTTCCCTGCCTTAGCCAGGCATACCCTTGCCACAGGGCATTGAGTATTTTTAGCAGGGATTTTTACACATGTGGCTGATTATGGGAAGAGGACCGGGGATGCAGGGGATAAAGACATTTAATAGGATGTTTCTGCTTCTCAAATACAAACACGCAATATATCGGCCCAGCAGGATTCAGATGATAAAAAACACTTTACTTGGTCAGTCCTGGGCTGACAAGAATCTAAAGAAAAAGGCCACCAAAAAACCGAGCCATTAAATGAAGTAAACAGTATCTATGTAAAAGGAACCAAAATCCTCATCTGACTTTATGATTATTCAGGGCTTTATGCTTTCTACCTGGAGAAATCGCTATTTCGCAAAGCCAAGCTTTCCTCTGTCTGCTTCCTTAGGTTCCATGGGTTTTCAGCATTGAATAGTTAAATTATAAAGAAAAGGTCCTTTAACAGCCCTCAAGGCACACAAAGCCCTTCCACCCAAAGTATTCATCGTATTCATCGACTACAGTGGGGGGGAATGGGGAGGGGGAGGAGCCCCTGTGGCTGACCTTTGACCTTTCAAGAACCGTTAAGCCTAGCCCTCTGCAACTTGGCCATGCCACCCTCATCGCCAAGCGCCCACACACCCATCCAGACGCTGTTCTTCATTTGGAACCTGGCAAGTGAAAGATTGATTAAGGCACTTCTAAGATCCCTCTGCTTAGTCCCCCTCTCACCCCGACCCCACAAGCCTCTATAACTGTGGGCAACCTAGAGGGAATGAAAGCTCGCCATTCACCTCCGCAACCTATTAATCAACAGACGCTGAAAACAAATAGAGCCATTGCTGGCCCTGGTGTCTCCCTTGGCCCTCCTCTTCAATACGCCCCTACTGCTGCCCTCTTTCTGCAGGAGGAAATTGGGGCCAGAAAGTGCCTTTAGGAGCTCCGCACAATAAAACTAAAGCCACAGAGGAGCATTTGTCAGCCTTTTCCCCTCCTCACGGTGGGCATGGAAGGTCTTTGGGGGTCTTCACTTACCAGCCCTCCCAGGGGCTGAAATCAGCATGAGGAAGGGACACTATTCACTCCAGGTTTACATTTAAAAATGGGTTTATAGTCCACCTCTATGTATTTTTCCAGACGCCGTTTGCTATGGCTGCAGCAAGACCAATGGCAACAGCTAAAACGTTAAGAAAAATTTCACGTCACTGAAGCTGTGGCAAGTTGGGGAAGAGGACAGGTTGGGGACACAACGAAGGAAGGACTGTTTCTCATCTATCAACCACCCTTTGGCAACTCAGCCAAGGTAACCCTCCTGTCCCCAACAACCTATGACCCCCAGCAGTTAGGAACTATTTCTGCTGATGGGATGGTCACAGGAGACAGACACAGCCAGTGCAATCTGGGCCCAGCCCTGCATGGACAGTCCCATCCCAACCCAGCAGGCCAACACTTGCTTTTGCATCCTGCAAACCTCTTATATATACACAGAAAAAAAAAAAACAGCAGTCATGACTTCCTCCCGTGGCCCCAAATGGGTGGGCTTCCTCAGAGCATTTTACCCTGGCCCGTGCCCCTCTCCCCTTGCAGCTAGACAGGACCCATCCAGCGCCGTGGCCGGGGTCCTTTCTTAGTTGAATGTTGCTCCTTTCTGTCTAAGGCCTTGCTCCCAGCTAATGGTGGACTGTTTCCCTGGACAAGACTTCTATTGATAGCTACAGCACTGCCTGTTGGAAATAATAAATAAAAGACAGAAGGTTTCACAGGGTTCGAGTTTTACTTGAAGAAACAAGGTGGTAAGAGAAAAGAGATCTGCCTGTGAGATGCAGAAAAGCGAAGCCCACCCTGCCAGCCACAGCACACAGACTGCATCCTCCGGCTGGGCTGCTGCAGAGCCCGCCCCCGCAGGCTGCAGAGTTAGAGCAGAGTCAGAGCGTCAGAGCATCTCCGACCCCCGAGAGCCTCCCAGGAAGGGTGCTGCTTATTTGTTTTGTAAATTATCAATGGCTGGCTTTTATTTCTCTTTCTCTCTCTCTCTCTCTCTCTCTCTCTCTCTCTGGAATCCAATCCATTTAGACAGCAAGAGGAGGAAGAGAGACGATTCTCCCTGCCGTCTGTGAAATTTTGCCGACTCATAGTTTCTCATGGATTCACACAGGCATTAAAATTCTCCTTGCTGGGAAATGACTGAACAGAGCAAGCAGGGAGAGGAGAAACGTGCAGTCAGTTTTCATCCAAATTCTTACACACACACAGGCAAATACCTAGAACAAACTCGATCACTTCACGTCCTTGACCTTTTTTGGGGGTAGCCCTTTCTATATTATAAGCACCCAGCTGGTAACACACCAAACAGACTGCCAAACGTGAAGGGTCGAGAGGACCAAGTTCAACTCTTAAAGACCCTTTCTCAATCCTCGAAAGGAGGATGGAAGGGCTGGGGGGTGAGAGGTGGTGGGTGGGCTGGAGGTGTTGGGATGGAGGAATAGAGGAACATTCAAATCTGGAAAATAAAGAAGGTGTTGAGATGGAGGAATAGAGGAACATTCGAACCTGGAAAATAAAGATGTGCACCAGCTGCTTGGCTTTGTGAAGACCGCAGCCAAGGCCTGACCCAGCAAAGCTGTGCATTCACAGGCTCTTGAACAATTACTTCCAGTTAAGTTCATTAAACATAATTTATTTCCACTCATTCTCATTTATTTTCCAATTAAAAAGAAAACATCCCATTGTGCCTCCCCTAGCCAACCTTTAAAACACTTGCAAGCTTACTTCTTAGCCCACCCGGTCCAGGCTCGCCCCTGATCAGCGAGTTTCCAGGGTTTTCTTCCTGCCTGCCTCTGCCTCCCTCCGGCAGCGTCACAAAATTCTCAACCTGGAGGTCAGTGAGGGGGCGCGACAGGCACAACGGGGCCCTCTGTCCTAATCCTCCACCAGGTCTCAGGGATGAAGAACCAGTCACTTCACCCCTAAGTAATTTCCCAGGAATCTGCAACCTCCACCCTCCCGCCAAATATTTCTCTACTACTTGGGTATTAAATGATTAGCGTTAACATAATCAATCTTGTTAAGTGTCCGAATTTGCAGAGAATGTTTGGGAATTGGGTAAGAGAGTACAGCTGTTTCTAGGAGAGCGGATCTTCCAAACCGAGCCAGAAATAAATCGAACCTATCCCAAATGAAGAAATCCAAAAGCTCAAATTCAAAACAACTTTTAACAAATAATAATGATTTCCAGAACACCCCCTCGCCACCAAACACAACAACCCCAAATCTAGAGATTCCTAAATATAATGGAAAGGAAATCACCAATTTTGATTTAGAGCAAATTTTAAGAGCATAATGGTTATTACATCCTGAGGAATTCAAGAAAGAAATAGTGAACAAAATCTGACACCGACTTTCTAATTTATTTACAAGGAACAGCTGCATAAAAAGCTCTTTTGTTTTTCTTGTATACCCTGTGCCTAACTTTCCAATCTCAGTCTTATTTGAAAATCATGCCTACTCCACGGAGTCTGAGAAAAGCTCAAGAAACAGCTTTTTTCCTTCGCTGATCAGGTAAATTTTCCCCACAGAAAAGAGGAGGTAAGCCAAGAGGAAGAATGAACGTTTCCACTCATGTGGCTCAACAAATACAAATGCCCAAACCCTGGGATTCAGCAAAGACCGACGGAAAGGAAGACGAACACAAAGGCAGAACTGCATTGTTCTGTTCTATCCTGCCTTGTTACTATCCCAAACGTGGGCATCCTTTAACAGGCATCTGCAGTCAGAATAAATAACACGCATGAAAATGACGCCGAGTCACCATGGGACGAAGAGGGTAAACACAATTGCTGTCCCTCCGATCTCCAGTTGATGTGTTGCAAGTTTAGGGAACGAGGGAGTGACCCAGGCAAAGTTGAATTTTTTCAAAAATCCTCAAATGTGTGCAGAAGTATGTAATCTGGAGGGCATGTCAGGATTTCATCACATTCCAAAATATTGCAGAAGGAAAGAATTCTATTACACAGCTCAGCCAGGTCCCCAACAACCCCAAACCACAAAGGGGAGGTTTCCCTAAGAATACAAGGTTTCAGGCTCTGCTGCTTCCAGAAAATGCCGATGCAGCAGCCTGTTGTGACTATACAGAGATCATAATATCTGTATCATTGGAGTTGGGAATTTACATTTTCAAAGAACTCCCTTCTCATAAGACATCAAGAATAGTGGTTTACTCCCACCAAGCCAACAGGACCACTATTAACACAGGTAATTTGAGAAAACTAGGGTCTAGAACCTCAAGATGGGAGACTGTACCGGGTGTAATATTTGCAGTAACACAACGTACACATTTGCAACACAGCCTCCACTCTCTTCCCCACCATTCCTGACAGTTTACACAATCCTAGATTGAACCAAAAAGTTGCACACAACTAGAAAGGAAAACCAAGATTTACACCCATCGTTATTTTAGGCTCAACTAGAGAACTATCTATGATCTTGTGTTTTAATATGACACACAGAATTTAATTCATGATGTTGAAAATATAAACGTAAGATTATGGTATATTTCATTCCTTCTCACCCCAAAATTGGATGGAAGAGCTTATCGACCACTGCAGATTATTTCTGTTTGGTCATACAATAACACCACAAATAATAAAAGTAATAATAAAAGTAATTAAGGAATTGCCTCCAAATTCAAGAGAATCCCCTTACAGCTTGTGGCAAAAGATAATCACTGAAGCTGGGCGCGATGGCTCACGCCTGTAATCCTAACACTTTGGGAGACTGAGACGGGCAGATCACCTGAGGTCAGAAGTTCAAGACCAGCCTGGCCAACGTGGTGAAACCCCCTTCTCTACTAAAAATACAAAAATTAGCTGGGCGTGTTGGTGCATGCTTGTGATACCAGCTACTCAGGAGGCTGAGGCAGGGGAATTGTTTGAACCCGGGAGGCGAAGGTTGCGAAGGAGCCGAGATCTCGCCATTGCACTCCAGCCTGGGCGAAAAGAGTGAAACTCCATCTCAAAAAACAAAATAATAATAATAATAATAATTAAAAGAAAAGATATCAAGACACAGTTGAAGAGAGTATAATGGATCCTAAACCCCAAATTCATATTGCAAAAGGGCCTTCTCCCTAATCATTAACAGCACAATGAGCTGTCATCAGGCTCTTTTCCAAAACACATTTTATATTAAGTTTACAAAACATACCACAAGCAAGACCATAGCCCTAAAAAGCCGGCATCTAAATCTGGAGATTGACAACTAAACACAGAGCAACAGAAAGTTAGCATTAAATATGAAACCAAAATACACACTTTACACAGCCTGCTACTGTTAAAGCCTTATCGCTCAAAACTTTCAAGCTTTTAAAGTATGCTCCTCTATGAGGCAATGTCGTTTTCCTTCTCTGTCTTTCGATGGAGCCCACCCTGGTGGGTGAAGAAAAAAATTATTTGTTAGAAGAAATTCCAAACCGTACCACCCCTTCCCAGATTCCAGCTCACCCGTACTTGGGGAACAGAGTCTGCCTTACCATAGAAGTGTAAGGACTGTGATGAAAGTCAGACTTCTCTCCTCCCCATCTTTTTTTAACCCTTTCTCCCCCTCCCCAAAAAACTGCTGTGAAAATGACTCAGAGAAAGGGCATAGCTTGAGTTGACCATTTATTGTTTTGTTTTTTCCTTCCCAAGATCTAAATTGTGGGGGGGGGGGGCGGGCGGGCATAGGTTTAATGGTCAATACCATAAGCATGGACATGAACACACACACATCCCCCCATACGCACACCCCATACACATACCACACACCCCACTACTCACCCAGCAATTCAAATTGAGGTGCCAACCGCCCAACTGCTGGAACAGAGAGACCCCGGAGGCTACTGCGCCTCCCTTACCACTCAAATCTTCCATTCCCACTAAAATTGTATCCCTAGGGTACATAACAGCCTTGGTTTTCCCTCTCTCCACCTCTAAAAAAACTTTCTCTGTACCTTCGAGATGGGACTGGGCCAGTTTTTTTTCTCCTCCCTTTCTGCTTTTCTCACTTTTCTTTTTCCTCCCAGCTTCCCCTCCCTTTAAAGCTTTCACTTAAAGAACTGAAAAAAAGCATCTAAAAAGATCGAAATGGCCCCAGATTCCTGGCCAAATAGGCTCAAAATGCTCAAAGTTGTCACTCATATTGCCTAGAATTATTTTGTTAATCCTTCCCCCTGCACACACATCCCTTAAAAAATCTTAAAAATAAAAAACAAAAAATCCACTAATCATCTAGAGTTCAGCTGGTTGCAGATTTAATTAAAAAAAAAAATTAAAAACTCCTTCTACTTTCTAATCTTTGCCACTACAGAATCTGTGAAGGAAGGGGGAAGGTCCATGTTCCCCAGCCAGCTCAGGGCACCTCAGCAAAGTCCCCTCCCTCACCCGTTACCTTGGGCAGCAGGGAGAGAGCTGCCGCTAAGAGTAGCAAAGAAATTACGGTCAGCCATGAGGGAAAATGATCAACCGAGAGTGCAGGAGGCAGGCACTTTATCTGCAAGATTGTCAAATCCCTCCAAACAAATTTCTTAGGCAGAGGGCTGCGATGGGAGAGGGGAGGGAGGAGGAATGGATATTTTCTTGTCACAGTGACACGGAAGTGACACTTTGCAGGGCCTTGCCTGCCCTGTATACACCCTTCTCTTCCTAGAGTAACAGAATGTGCCTGAAAGATTTTCAACTGGCCTCCCTGGAAGCAGAAGAAAGGAAGCTTCCTGGTCTCACTAGTATT